GTTTTTATATAAAATAATTAAAAGAAAACGCTGGAACCCATAGTTCCGGCGTTTTTATTAAAAAAAATTAAAAAATATGCCGGAAGCAATAGTTCCAGCATTTTTGTATAAAAAACTATTAGTTCTGGTGTTTTTTGTATGTAAGAAAACACCAAAACTGAATTGCAGAATTACGGGCTACTAACCGCAATTCAACTTCAAAATCCGCAATATTGCGGAATTTGAAAATCATTTGCGGACCCATCCTTAATTATGTGATCTTTTTTTAAAAAAAATCAATAACGATTACCACTTCCATATTTTTTTTTTAACTTTTGTAAATTGTAGCAAATTCGGTATAATTAATCTTGGAGGCAAAACATTATCAGTCAGCGGTCATATCATGTTTTTTAGGGGTGTCTTATAATTACTAATAAATAGTAATTTTTATATTTATATTAACATAAATTTTCTTAATTGCCGATCTGCCTAAAAACGGCACTGCGTTACTAATAAAATTCGGGGATAATAGCGATAATAAAAAAAAGCATTTTTTGCATCTCGCGCGCAAAATAAGTTTCACCCATTTTACAAACAGAAATATCATAAAAACAATATTTTCTTTCATTTTATGACAAGTCATATTTGCCAAAAAATTTTATAATTATATTTCTGTAACTGGTTTTCTTCAACTTTCACTTGTTTTTAATAATAAAAATATTTTAAAAAAGCTTTTAAAAACAACTTTAGAAGCTAAAAATTATAGGTTTTTATTGTAAATAATGCAATATAGTAAAATGAAATATTGAAATTTCGTATATTTTAAGGTGTAAATCTGACGCGCGCGCATAGTAAACTCATTATTTTGCATATGAATGTATAACTTTTTTTTGCAAATTCATTTTTTTCAAGTATTTTTTCAGTATATCATATGATTTTTTTTTTATAGTCAATATGTCATCTATGAGATATCCTTTTTTGAAGTTTGTGTTCTAGCACAAAATCGGCAAATTTAACCCCGAATTTTATTAGTAACGCAGTGCCGATTTTAGGCAGATCGGCAATTAAGTTATATATTATAAAAACTTTATATATTTTTATTCTTTAGGAACTTTTTTACTTATTTAAACACTTTTTTTTTTAATACAATACCTATATAAAAAATTTATATTAAGCTAACTTTTATAGTTTCAACCTTCAGATGCAACTTATTGGTAAAAGGTAAATATTACTTTTAAATATATAAATATATGTAATTTTTTATGAGGAATCAGTTTACTTAATAAATAAAAAGTAATTTTCTTAATAAAATTTATGGTAAATTTAAATTTACAATTTTAGTAAAAATTAGCCAATATTAATCTTATAAAATTTATATAAATATTTGCTAATTTTTTTGTATAAATACAATTTTAATTGCAAATTACATGTTTTAATAAAATAATATTTTAAATATTTACTATATTTAACAAATTTTATAATTTGACTAATTTTTAAAAGTTTTTTATAGTAAAAATATTTCAATAATTATTTAATTTTAATAAAATTTAAAGTATAATCATTTTAATTGATTATAAAACAGTATGTAAAATTTGAGAATATGTTATTTATAGAATTATTGAATAAATATACTGTTACACAAAATGCAGATTATTTAGTTGATATGTAAAATACTAATTGATATTTTGAAATATTTTACATAATAATATATACTAAAATTTTACAGGCTATTTTATATCCTTTAAAAGTAATTATATATCAAATTATATTAAAATTGAATAGTTATTGAAATACTTTTACTATTAACAACTTTTAAAAATTAGTCAAATTATAAAATTTGTTAAATATTATAGATATTTAAAATATTATTTTATTATAACATGTAATTTGCAATTAAAATTGTATTTATACAAAAAAAATTAGTAATTATTTATATATATTTTGTAAGTTTAATATTGGCTAATATTTGCTAAAATTGTAAATTTAGATTTACCATAAATTTTATTAAGAAACTTGCTTTTTATTTATTAAGTAAACTGATTCCTCATAGAAAAATACATATATTTATATATTTAAAAGTAATACTTACCTTTTACCAATAAGTTGCATCTGGAGGTCAAAACTATAAAAGTTAGCTCAACATAAATTTTTTATAAAAGTATTATATTTAAAAAAAAGGTATTTAAGATCCGATTCGCGTATGAACTACAGAAAATTACTATATAAATTCGGGGAACGATTATTATAAAAATGGCAAAATTAGCACAATATTACAGATTATAAAAACTGCAGATGATCACGATGTAGCACCAAAATTCACATGATGAAACCTTAAATGCTAAGGATAATATTGATCAAAAAAAATCGAGAGTTTTATTTATTTTTTAAAAACTTTACTTTGAGGCAGCGTCAGATTTGACAGAAATATATATATATGTATTTGCGATGTTCAAAACACGCACTATTATTATTTACAAATAAAAACAATTAGAATTATATTTTTACACATCTTTATACGTTTAGAACTGTTTGTTTTATACAGTTATTCATTTTCTCTTGCCTCTAATTCACGTATTGCCATGATTTCTTTCCATTTCCGGGAGAAACCAGTAATCCAATTCTGAATAGTAGAGATTTTAGGTACGTCATTTTCGTCTAGTTCTCCTAGTTGAACACGTCGCACAAGTTCTTCATACATTTGTTGAGCTGAAAATTTGTTATTTGGATTTGCTGTTCCAGTATGAAACATATTTTCTAATAAATGTTTCGCACTTTTAGATATTCGCTTCCATGGTTCCCGCTTGTGATTCTTGTTAGATTTTAGGGCCCACCCAGATACAAATATATCGTGACTATTGTTGTCAAACAAAACCAACTGTTAGTATAATTGATTTATGAGCTTTTATTATAATAAAATGTCTTACATTTGCTTTCTTGAACTTCCTACTACATTTGTAATATCCATGCTATTCAAACTTGAATTCAAAAGATCCTATATATTGAGTAGTTTTTTATTTTTATGAAAAAAAAAAAAATTTTTTCAATTTTAAATTGTTCATACCAATTCTAACAATTCACCATTGGTGACAGAATCATCTGGATCACGAAATAATATTAGTTTCATGGGGAATTTGAAATAAATGCAAAAAACCATCATACCTTTACTGGCAACAATAGGTAGCGTCCATTTTTTAGATGATTCTGTATGAATAGAATATTCTGGATTGGGCTTTTCATTTTTTCTCTGCTTTTGAATTTTTTTTATTTGAACTGGAGACCATTTCTTCCATTCTCCAATTCCAGGCAAAATCCTGGCACATACGAATCCTGTATCCTCTCCTTGAACTGGCCACGTCCATTCATGTAGACTTTTAATTCCAGCTATTGTTCCAATTTTTTCTTTTCCTACACAAAGTATAAATATTAATACTGACAAACAAAAATATTGTTTATAATTTCTTCAATTATTGAAATACCTTGATCACGATTTGGCAGCAAGTTGGCAACTTTTGTTCCTGCAATTTCATGAATTGCTGTCTCTATATCATCACCAGACTCAATTGTACAACCCAGTTTGACATGACGCTTTATTGCTTGTGATATCTAATAGGAATAAATCAAAAGTAAACAAAATAATAATAGAATTTATAATAAAATGAAGCAAGCAGTATAATAACTACTTGAGCGTGATGGGAATCTATTAGCGTTTTAGCCTCACCAGCTTCCAAAAAGATCCATTTTCGAGAAACAATATCATACCAATCTTTCCATTGACCTATTATCATCATCAATTCTGTACAATGATAGTGAGGCCCATTATCCGACATTACTGTTATCCATTTTGGCTTTGGATCAAGATTTTCAAACACGGTATGAAGAGAAGATGCTGTAAACCAGGCATCTTGGCCAGTATCATCACTCCAATGGTCATATACTTGTATATCAAGCTTGTTATTTGTAATATCTTTCGTGTATACTAGTGATGAATGTAGAGTCCAACCTCTTTTACCAAAGAATTGAGATTTGGTTTCCCTTGCAGTATGTGGAAGTATCCTCATTTTATAGTCCACTATAATAACTGCCCCATCTTCATCTAACTCATCAAGATTAACCTGAACGTGAGTATTTAGATAAAACTTTCGTGCGTGATGTCCTAACCATGAAATTAGTTTCTTCAAATAATCATCTAATAATTCATGTAATTCTCCATCTACATGATTTTTTATCAGATCAAAAAAATGGAACAATTCTACACAACCGTTACATATTTCAAAACGCTGAAGATTACAAATTCCGAAGGAATGGCTAAGACAATGACATATGCAAGATTTATGTGCTGGAGTTCCAGAAGAGGTAATTTTCAAATCTTTTATATATTCACGCCTCATATATCTTCTCAAAGAATTTAATTTTTGAGTTAACTCTTCCTGTATTATAGAATATGATTAGTTTCAAATATTAAATTTATGAATACAAAAAATTCTTGAATATAATACCTTCGAAAATTCATCTTCTACATGGGTATCAATGATGGTATTAATAGATGCAAAGCTCTCATATCCACATTCATTGCATTCTGAGCAAAGACCGCCCAAATTATCTTGATAAACAAATCTACTACCTTGTAAACGTGTTATAAATGCTGTACGACGCATTCCATTTGGATATTCTTCAGAAAATTTTTCCCAAAGTGCCTGCTTATGATCCTGTAGATACATTATAGGTAATCCTGATTTTGAATGAGTTCGGTAAGAGCTCATGTTGACAATATCCTTTCTCGTGAAAAAATGATCAAACTGATCAACTTGCTCTATTTTAAACTTTAAACGATGAAATTTTGGCTTTTCAATAGGTGGAGCACCAAAACCATTCAATACAGCATGTCTTCTTGATTCAAGAACGGTATAAGATGCTACCTGTAATATTAGATAATTATTTATTGCATTCATCAAAATTACTGACAATATTATGCTATTTACAAAATATATTTTTACCCCTAAATTATGTTCTAATTCTTCATAGGTAAAATCATTGGCAATAATTGATAAAATACGCCGTTTTCCATCTCTGGTTTTTTTATTATCGTTCAATGCTTGTTGAAAACAAGACCAAAAAGTTTCTGTAGAATTTGAAGGATTACTGGAAAGAAATCCCATCTTGTAAAGAGTAGTAAATATCTGTTTTTCTTGTATTGGATTTTTCGATTTAGTCCAAAATTGATACTATAGAATTAGAAGTTATTTCTTATTTGTGTTTATAATTTTTCAACATACAAATCAATCATACCTTAGATTTACCATGAGACCAAGGAGTAATATCAGAGCATCTTGCAGCACGAAGCATTGATAACCATGCACCCAGTTCACGATCAGAAAATTGATGTTCTGGTGGGTATAATAATTTTAATTCTGAATTTAATTCTATTACATTACACTCATTTTGATTCCATCTAACAAATAATTTATACCATTCAATTTTAGCAAAAGTTTGACGCTGAAGATGATATTCATATAATTTTTTCATTAGTTTGAAATTACTCCATTCATGAGAAGCGCATTGTGGAATACGTAGCTTATTTAGTTTTTGTAATGTAATTTGATCTTCCAACCCAAATAATTCTTTTCCTGAAAATTTTTGAATATAATTTGAATTTTTCCAGACGTCATCTGGGGTAGTTCCTACAAATGTTTTTTGAATTTTAAAATCTTGATAAATATAAATGTAACATTTATCATCTTCAATTTCAGATACAAATATAGCTGCACGTTTCTTATATGTGTGAATAATTGATGACTTGTAACCATTACCCGCTTGATTCCAATCTGAACGTGTAGATAAACCCAATCCATAAATAAAAATTTCATAATCACCAAGTTTACATGAAAATGGACAAAAATCAATATTAGATGAAAAAACATCTATTATATTTTTTTTATCCCATCCCATAACAATAGAACCAGAATATCGAGTTTTTTTTTGAAAAATATTTTGATAAACTTCAGAAACTGCCTTAGTTGCACTTGTTTCTATGACCCAAAACTCACCACTTTGACAAAAATACTCGGGTAACATTTGATTAGAACCGGAAATCTGTACTGTTATATAAAAGTCACGTCTATTCAAACCAGCATCAGTTTTTTGGCCTGCTCTAATTGGAAATCTGAGTTGAATATTTGAGTCAGGAATACTTAGAATTTCCCACCAGTAGCGTGAATAAGGTCCATAGTGAAGATTTTCTACAAGCGAACCAGTTTCTACTAGGGTAACATACGTTTGAGACATGGTTGGCTTCAGATTTTAGTGTTTTTTACGAGCTGGTATATATAAAATATTTTTTTTGATATTATTCTTGGCATTTAAGCCTTATCACATGTTCATTGGTGCTACAATATTATTATTTGCCATTTTTATAATATATGTCGATATGCAAACCTTATTAATTTAACTATTGTTTTCCCTGGATATATATAGTAATTTTCTGTAGATCATATGCGAATCGGATCTTAAATAAGTAAAATAGTTTCTAAAGAACAAAAATATATAAAATTTTTATAATATATAACTTAAGAAAATTTATGTTAATATAAATACAAAAAATTACTATTTATTAGTAATTATAAGAGAAATGAAATGACTACTGACTGTTATTACTTGAACAAAAAAAAATGGAATAAAAACTTTATTAAGGACGTCAATGATTTGAACTAATAAGTTAAAAGTCATTAAAGTTATTAATAAATTTACAAATTTATATTAATGAACTTTTCTTTATTACAAACGATCTTTGATACACAAAGTGCGAAAAAAATTTATTTTATGGAGTATCCTGTAAAAAATGTTGTTGTTCTGTGTTTCAAATTCCAAGGTACATAATGAATGAATTTGTTTATTTCCATATTTTTTTCCGTAAATGTATCATTTTCACTAAAAATTTTTTATAGAGTGGTGACCGCAATTGCGATTTATCTTTGTGAAAATTATAATTCTGAAGAAAAATTACCAAAGAATGATCCTAAATTGAGAAATCAAGTTATTCAAGTTATTCAATGGATAAATATTTTATTCGCATAAAAAATTTGATTAAAATGAGAAATGAACTATGGACTTCTAACTAGAGCTCCGAACAGTTCCGGTTTGAACTGGGAACCGATCCGAAACTGACCAAAAATTCAGTTCGGTTCTCGGTTCGGTTTTAGAACTAGAACCGTTCAGTTCGGTTCGGTTCTATTTTATTTTAAGAAAAAATACGAAAATCAAAATAACTCGGCAACTAGTGATCGTATAAAGACGTACAATAGCTCATTAGAATCGTCTCATCGAGACGCGTCGAATGGTGGTAAGCTCATCTCTCTAGCGTCGATATATCACGAGATCATCAACGCTAAACATTTTTTATAAAACTAGCGATAGAATCGTATCTATTGATCCTAGAGACATGATCTTGGCATAATTCGATAGGTCTTAATGAGACGAATCTAATGAGCCTTTTTTCATTTTTTTATGATCACTACATAACGAGTTATCTTAATTTTCGCATTTTTTTTAAATTTTCGAACGTCAAAAAATAAAAATTCCGATCTAAGATATAACCCATCATCTACTGATTGTATTAGAACGATCTTTAGCTCATTAGAACCGTCTCATCGAGATGAGTTGAATGACGGTAAGATCATGTCTCTAGCATCGGTATATCATGAGATAAATCATGCTAAGCAATTTTAGAAAATCAGCATTAGAAAGGTATCTATCGATGCTAGAGACATGATCTTACCGTCATTCAACTCATCTCGATGAGACGGTTCTAATAAGCTAAAGATCGTTCTAATACAATCAGTAGATGATGGGTTATATCTTAGATCGGAATTTTTATTTTTTGACGTTCGAAAATTTAAAAAAATGCGAAAATTAAGATAACTCGTTATGTAGTGATCATAAAAAATGATAAAAAGG